CGGCCCTGGCTTATGGGCGTCTTCATCGCAAACGAAGCCCCTTCGGCGGTATGTGGGCCTGAGCAGGCCATCAGTGGAATGAAAGTCAGGATGTTTCAATAGATTTCGGAAATGGTCTCTGGCAAAACTTCGGGTGGCCTCGAAATTGCAGCTTAAAGCCCAAGCCCTCAAAGCCAAAGCCCCTGAACTCTGAAACCCTGAAACTCTTAGACCCTCAACCCAGGAACTCCATCTTCCCAGAGCCCAGGTCTGTGTCCTGGCGATCCTGATTTGCTTCGACCGGCGCTCAGAGTTGGGTCCAATGGGCCTCGGGTTGGTTTTGAGGGCTTTAGGTGGGTTTTTATAGCTCTCTGAATCGGGATTTGCGCGGGGCGGTGTACGAGTTTTTACGGGGTTTTTCGAGATTCCGTTTAACAAGGGCTTTATGTCGTGGTATCAGTAGTAGTCCAAGGGCGCAGTGACCCAACATAAAGGCCTGAATATTCTGAATTAACTCGTTCAAGACTGTTTCTTAAGCTCCTCATTTCGGTTATGCAGTCTGAATACTAAGGCCTCTAAGAAATCTATAGTAAGGTTTGGGTTACGTAGTTAATAGGTACGTTGCCCTCCCCATACAGCCATAATCGAGTGCGATGGCCCATTTTGTAGGCGTCTTAGTGTTAGCTTTAGCTGGTCGGAGCCGGAGTCTCATACATCAGTCTTCACCGCATCGCGGCTTCAGCTCTCAGCGCAACACAGGATGGAAAGGTCAAGCTTATCTGCCAACACCTCGCATGTTAGGAGCAGATCGACGAGATCGCCAAGTTGCAGCGGCAGCAGCAGCGTTCCTCGACTGTGATTTGCGAGCTTGCGGTCGACACATTTCCAAGGCTCATGTTTGTCCGTGTTTACGTGCACTCTGCGAACTGCTGGCAGGATACCGAGAAAGACGAGAAAGGCTGGCAGCAAAGGCCAAGAGTGCACGAGAAGACTGGATGAAGGTGCCAGGGTTCCATGGCACCTGCGGGCACGTTCCAATCTGCATGACGGTGTGCGAGCGAGTAGCGGCTTCTACCAAAGAGGTGCAGCGGCTCTTCGACCTTTGGAACTACCGTGCCTCGGTCCGGTCGTTAGAAACGCCTCGCAAGAGAGTCCTTCCTGTCTCTCGCTTAGGCACGCAGCCCTTCCTGAGAATCATGGGCAAGCTCCACCGTACTCTGGAGGGCATGGACAGGGATGCCTGCATGCCACGATTGAAGGAGACTTGACAGCGCTTCAAGGCCACGGAGTGGAGGCTATTGAATGCTATTATTGCAGCTGCGAAGATGCCCATGCTGAAGTGATCAATCCGCAAGTGTCATCGTGTCTCTGCCGGAGTGTTTCCATGACGGACTCGTGAAATTTGCCCGTCGAGGACGGCGGGGCCAGACGCCCCTCAACGATTGCTCACGAAGCACAGCGACTACAATGGCTGCAAGAAACGAATGAGCCTCTCGGCAGTGTTGCTTTCGTGTTTGCGCAGCTGTCGTACGAGTACTGCAGTTTCAGGATTCATGATGTTGCTGTACCCTGAGCACAGAACTCATGTTATGATATGTAAAGCCGGATGGCAGATTGCTGCAGCGACACTCATCTTAAGTACCAGTTGGCCGTCCATCGTCGCTACATGTCTAGAAGTTTACGGCTAGCAAACAAGAGCGCGACCAAATTAAGATCAGAATCCACTGTACTTCCGAGCCGTCTACACTCTTCCCCAAAGTTTTGGAAGCTTGCGACCTGCTTGACTGCAATTGCAATCCAACAGCCAAGGCGCATCGGTGAACTGGATGCACGCCTCGAGGGTGTTGAGTGGGCCAGCGAGGACATCCATCTCGCGTAGCTGGATCAAAGGTGTGCCTGTGTAGGCAAATAACTGAACAGATGCACCAGTGGCGAAGAACGTTTGTTCGTTTCTTTCTCCGCACATGTTTGTATGTGTGCGCGAAAGTCTGTGTGTGCACTGTGTGCACAGCCAGTGCCATCCAATTTTGTGTTGTATGTGTGCATGCATGCAATGCTATGCTAATGTCTGTGCACATGCATACATATACCTCCATGCTGAAGCTGTCTGCAGGACCCACTGCACCACGAAACAAGGCACGTGGGTTGAATTCACTGCTGATGTCCTGCTGCGTTTGACCCGATGTCTCTATGGCCGTTTCTGGTGTACCATGTTGGGCAATGACCAACAACGTCATAATGAGTATCTTCTTTTCTTGAGATGTACGTCGAACCCACTAAGTCCCAATAAGAAGATGCCACAGATTTCATTTTCTAGCTTCACTTCTTCGTGGCAAGGGGGCTCATCAATCGCATATTAACTGGCAGCCTGACTGTTTGATTGTTGTGTTGATTCTGGGCATTCTGGGTTTGGGGTTTTGAGCTGTTTCACAAATCAACCCGAGATCAGCCAAAAACAAGCTGCTTACTGGGTTGCAATCATGCCAACTTGTTCCCTGTTCAGTCCTCCTTCTTGACCAGAGTTTTGCACGCTGGAGAAACAGCCGAAACTCAAGTCCTGGATGCAGGAGGCGCACAGGCTTGCTGCTCCAGGCGTCCTGGCTGCAGTGGATTCCTACCAATGCAAATCCAAATATAGTTCATAGCAATATGGCTAGCATAAGACAAGACGAATCAGTCGTTTTCTTCTTCATGATGACCACCGGCATAAACTGCGAGTCTCCTGCATAAGGTTGTTGTTTTGCCGATGCTTTTCCGTCGTGCATGATTCGACAACCGCTTACATTCATGCCTAACGCCGCGCTGTGCTAGTCTATAGGAGTCTTGAGCTGCGTGAAACAAAGGCACATGACGATGTAAACCCTGAAACCCTGAACACTTCCGACAGTAAACTCGTATGCTCTGCAGCTGAGGATGCGGAGCGAAGCGCCGCCACCTGGCGTTCAAAAATAATAAATGCACTGGTACTATAGCTGGTACATAACTAAATTTGTGATTACACAGGTCAGTACATATACACATGAGATACACATGTACATGAACAAGTCTATGCTGTATGTGTGTATGTGTATTTAGTATGTATCTGTGGCAAACGATGCAGTCGAGTGTAATACAATTCAGTCTGCAATATTTTCGAGCTTAGATGATGCAATGATTCCGGCTTCGCTAGCAAACCGGGCCGGCGAGTGACCGTGCCGGCACGCGATGTGAGTTTAAACTGTGCGCTGCGCCGCCCAACCATGCATGGTAGGAGCACCTCGAGCGCTCGGGAATCCAACAATCCAACCCCGGTGCCCTCAACGTAGGACTGAAGGAGCAGGCTGTGCTTGACGGAATAATCGAAAATAGTACATCACCGGTTCACATCCTGTAATATGCTGTTTCAAGGGGAACCTTACTGCTGTAACTGCGCAGGATGCATGCATGCGTGGCATAGCAAGTACAGCCACTCAATGCATCCACGGGTACATGTCCGTATGCAGATAGTGTTCACATCTCTTACATATGCATGGGCGTCCGTTTGTTTGTTTGTTTGTTTGTTTGTTTGTTTGTTTGTCTGTCATGCCTGCCTGCCTGCCTTCCTGCCTGCCTGTCTGCCCTTCTGCTGTCTGTCCGTCCGTCTGTTCCTCTATCTGTTTTTTACGTTTGTACGTCAGTCCCTCTGTCTGTCTGCATGTATGCAGATGCTATGTGTGTGTGTGTGTGATTGTGTGTATATATATATAGCGACAACATACAGTAGCATACAGTGCTATGTTGGAGCCAAGCAATTGAAGCTTCGGACAAAGAGGTCCTGCATCGGGGTGGGATCCCAAAATCATTGCCTTTGCAGTGGTCTCTTCCAGGTTGCAGCTGCCCAGCGAAGCGAACAAATCTAGCGACTCCCTTCAGACTCAGGATGTTCTCGACTGGTTTCGTTCAGAGCTCAGCTTGATGCTTTCTGTTCTGAGTCTGATGTCCGGAGAAAGAGAAAGAGAGAGAGAGAGAGAGAGAGAGAGAGCTTTTTCGGATTCAGATGTCAGAGGTCAGAACTTCTTTTATCTGCCGCAAATATGTGTGCGCGTGCTTGTGTGATTTTGAAGGAGGCAGCTGTCACGAACCCCCATAACGACCTTGCCAGGATGGCGCCCGCAACCCCCAAAAAATCCCTGTAGTATAAACCACAGATGCCTGAAGCCGCAATCAACTCAAGTCCCCAACTTCCGTTAACAAAGGCACTGAACCGGGGGCCCTAAAGCCTCCGTCGAACTATGCCTGAAATCCTAAATGGGTTCTTCTCTAAATTAGGGTCCCTTTTGGGGTCCTGACCCTAATTTAGAAAACCCAAAAACGTCGGCCCAGGCAGGCGCACTGCCTCCGATATGGCGGTCATGGACCTCCCATCCTGAACAAAGAGACTTCAGACTTCAAAGTTCCTTCTTCACAGACTTTTCCTATAGGCTTTAAGTAAAGGGGGGTTTCAGAGCATAGGGAGGAGATTATAGTAGGGCTTAAGAGGTAGCGATATTGAGTCAAGAGATGTTGGAGTTTCTGGGAAAGAGAACCTCATGTTTAGACTAGCATGATGCGAGCTAGGTAGGACAATTTTTTTACGCGAGCTAGAGGTGCCAGTTTGGTGCTTCTTGGCTAGTTCACTTGCAAGGGCCTCCTTGCCTTGCTTCGCTGTTGCCTTGCTTGGAGGTAGCAGGGTTAACGAGCCGTGCCTGCTTGTAGGGTCACTCCGTGCCTGTCAGAAGCAAAGACTCAAGTGGAGATCGCTTCGTTTTCCGGAAGCAACATCACACACAGAGTGACCCCACGATGCGGGCAGCCTGTCGATTGGACGCATGGTTTAAAATCTCTGTGCCCCACTTTCATAGCGATGTGTTCTGAGTTTGGGACGGACTCTGCCTTCGATGAGGAGCAAGCACCTGACTCCTAAAGTCCCAAAAGGCTTTCAGATTCCAAACGCTAAAACCCTGAACCCCTAAAACCCCCACACCCTGCAACCCTAAACCCCTCAATCCTCTGAGACCGCCCAGGCGTCACATCCATGCGAGGCGAATCGTGCACAGGGATCTCAAAAGCTGCAGCCCCGGCCCGACTGTGACACGACACCTCACACGCCGCCCTTCTTGAGCCCGCTCCGCAGTCTTTCACAACAGACGTATGTATACATATTGGATTACATATATATATATATATACATATGTTTATTTATGTATCTGCTTATACATACATGCACTTATTTGTTTATTTGTCTGATTATACTTATACATATGTACTGTACTACGACTGCACTTAAAGACATGCACTTCCGGCGACACACTTTCTCTCTCCATGCGTATAGCACTCTTGAGACACCAATATGTTGAAGGCAGTTTGGCTGGCCCAGGTCAGAATATTTTCCTGTCCAATGCGGGAGGTGGCGGTTGTATTGTAAAGTGCCTTGGCCGGCAAGAGGCACTGAGTGACCCTTTGCCTGACCCGTTTGCCTGCGAACGCACACTAAACCCTATACCGTGGACCCTGACTTGGTTACATAGTTCTCGGCAGCCACGCGTCACTGCTCTGGCAAGGATCGGAGATTTCGGCATCGCGAAAGTGCTGCAGCATACCAGGCAGGAAAGACACAATCGACGACGTGCCGTGCCTTAAGTCCCGATCTGTGCTGCAACCTTGTCCAATTGGCCTTTTCATTTTCCGTGTCATCTTTGCCCCTCTCCTTGTGCGCACACTGAATGGTTGCATTCATCGCTATCGTCCTCATGGTCAAGACCATCAGCATGAGAATCAGTATCAACAGCAACGTCTATTAGTCTATAGTCATCACCATCGACATCGCTACCCCGAACACCTACATCATATCAGTCGTCCTCAGCATCACCGGCCCACAGGCATGTGTGCCATCTTCATGTCCATCCGTATCTTCAGACATCACCATCAGCGTCACGACGATCGCAATCACGCAGCTCATCATCCTTGTTGTTGACGTTGTTGGGCTTAAAGTGTGTTCGTTTGTGTGAGTGTTCCGAGTTGTGGGTCGCCATCTGCATGTCTGCATTCATCGTCATCGTCGTTGACAGCACCACATGCACCACCATCATCATCGCCACCACCATCATCATCATCCCCCCAAGCTCACCCATCTTCACCCTCATGTCCGTCCCCACGCTTGGCTTCCTCGTCGTCGCCATCACTTCTTCCGAAAGCCGATGTTGAAATCCCCATCCTGCCCAGGGGTTTAGCACAGACCTTGATCGGCACGCCGAGCAACCTCCCCCCAGAAGCCCGCCACCCAGTTGATGGTACATTGGGTCGTTTGCAATCCTGCATGAGATCTTCTATAATCTATAGCTACTATAGCTGTCATTCGGCTCACCGGGGTCTTGCCTGGGGATTCGGGAGTGCCTTTAGAAAGACCACGGTCGTTGTGGCCTGGCATCAGAAGGGATCGCGCTTGAGCATCTTTTGGTGGATTGATGAATATCACTCTCCTTATCCTGACAGCTGCAGACTGGTTTGATTGAAGCTGTTGTTGTTGCTGCGCACATGCTATGTGTTAGTGTGTGAGTGTGTTACTCGTTGTTTCGTTCGGCTATGCCTCACTATACTGTGCTGTCCTTGTGCTTCTAAGATACAGGCATACATGAATCGCAGCTTGAATGCGGACACACATGCATGCCACGCCGCAACCTATGCTTGCGTCGGATGCTTCATTTAGCCGTGTGAATTACACGAAAATTCGTCAGGCTGAGTGATCAGAGCCTTCAAAGCTGCGAAATTCGAGCAGAATCAACCTGCACCAAGCTTGAGGGCCTCTGCAGGTCTCAGGGCGCAGAACCCAAGCAGCTGGGGCCCCATCCCCGCAGAAGTCCCGGCGACGCCCCGTGTTCCCAGGGTCGGAAATTCTTTGAGCCGCAGATAAAAGGGAGAGATCTGAAGCAGACCCAAGCATGAACCCAGGTTTGTGACAGCAAGCCGTATGGCACGAAGGCCTGGCGTTGCAGCACACGGTGTTGTCTGCATCGATGATCGCAGCAGCCCCCCAACGTGCATGTAGGTTTCCACATGCCCAGGATCCCAACGCTCCCCAAGCCCCAGATGTTTTTGGTTCCTGGGGCAGGGCCCTTAACCTGAATCCTCATCACAATGTGCAGCACAGTCCGTTAGGTCAGATTGAGCCAGGTTTGGGCATGTTTCGCTGCGTTATGATTGGCTGGCTGTGCTGCCCAACTAAAACGACACCCCTGCCCGGGAGGCTGATATTTGGTCCCTTGGCGTGGTCTTTTACGAACTTTTGACACTGGAGCCTCCGTTTAAGGCCTTGGCCTCGGCGATACAGCTGCCTTTGGCCCTTGCACTTGTGAAGCCAAGCCTCCGTTCTTGCTACTAAGTGCGATTAGTCCCCTCATCGTTGGCGTGATTGCCATGAAAAAGGCCCATCTGTTACCTGTCGTAGTTCTATTCAGCTCTATTCCGCTCTGCATACATGTGCACATATCTCTAGTCAACATTTGGTAAAAAAATATGGTAATGAAACAACAGCAACAACAACACAATGATTGTGTGTATATGTATATGTATATGTACGTACGTGTGTATGTATGCATGCTACCGGGAGAGGTCTGGTTGAGCAGGGACGCTGCGAGTAAGATATGTTTGGGATTTAGGGCCATTTAGGGTTCAGGGCCGGGCTGCTTGTGGTACTTTGGGATTGTGGGGGCCTGCAGCGGCTTTGGGCTTATTTATGGTCTGCGTCATGCTGGAGTTGGGGCTGATCTTGCGGTTGAGGTTCCGGGTGATGGGCCTGGGTAACGCCCGAAAGCCTTTTCTCGGTGAGGGGCCCTCAGGCATAGGCAATTCGGGGCACGTTTGTGCAACCTTAAGTCTCTAAAGCCTCGCACCTACAGCTCTGAATGCTACCCCCCAAAAGAGTTGGGAGGGAAAGAGCTGAAAGGTTTCTGGGAGAAAGCGTGTACGAAGTCGGTATTCGTCAAGCACCATGTCTGCGCCGTTCCCACGCGGGGCAAAGGGCAGCACTTGTCGTCCTGTTGTCGTGGGTGTTGATATAGTATTGGGCGTTAAGGGTTGGTGCCTGTGTGCCTGAGGCGATGAGCCTAGCTGCGCTGGCCATCAAAATAGCCTTGCTCTCAACTCTTTCGTTGCCGATTGGGTAAGTGCTGCAGTCAAGTAGCTCAGGTGAAAAGTGGCTAGCTACGGATCCGTGCTGGCTGTGCTGCAAGAGTAGTAGCCACAAGAGGGACGGGTACGCCGCGGCCGAGGTGAACGGTGAGCCCAAGCCCATCCTCAATGACTTCTATGCGGAAGAGGCGTCAAGCCATAGTATTCAAGATAAGTGCAAAGACCTCGTCAGTGATGCTTCAGGGCCTCGGCTCTTGAAATACTACACTTCTCCTGCAGTCCTGCCTACAACAACTGCAAGTAATGCGAGACAGCGGCGTCGGAAGCAGAGCGTGGAGGCGTGAATCCCACAAAAGAGATATTGGATTGCTAGGTTCGGGGGCCAAGGTGAACCGGGCTCCGGTGAAATGTGGAAGAGAAACCATCGAATGCACAAGGTCCGTGGGCTTGTGCGACCGATGCTGGAGAAGGACTGCGGCATGCAGTTGGCAAGATCCACATAAGAGGCTACAGTAGGGATTTGAGCTTATAGCTTCGAGACTCACTCAAAGACTCCATGCGCGACCAGGTTGGTATTTGGATTTAAAGCTAAATGCATTCCGGACAAGCGCATGCTGGTCCTCGTGAGCGCCTGCACTGTATTGTGTGACGATGTGGTGAGGATCCGGCAAGGCGACCCAGCGTAGGGGTGCCCAGCTTCAGCGTGCAAACTGTGTGCAAGAACAATCGGAAGACGTGCTGTTTGCAGTACAACAACGTCATGCCCGCCTCTATTCGTCCTTGACAATCCACCTCAATCAGACAAGGCTGCGCGGTTGCTTCAAAAGAACCCTCTGCGCCGCGTTGCCCAGATGCTTCGCTCTCAGAAAGGTTTCCGAGTTCGTCCGGAGTGTGCTCTATATGGGAGTGTACACGCACGCACACAAAGACCCATTTACACGGACAATTCGTGTTTCTGATCTTGTCTATATACTACCCATCCACATGCTTCCTGCATGTTCATGTATACAATGTAGATATACACATGCATGACCGGCCAATCCCTTCTGTTTCTTGGCGCATATTATGCTATTGCATCTGTATTATTTGCCACGTTGAATGCAATGCATACCAGGAGCAGGTGTTGTATCGAACACACATTTCTACGCAATGGTTTGCAGGCGTGCTTGAAGGAGGACTGGTGTTCGTCGCTTTGTGTGGCTTAACATTAGTTGTGTGCTCAGGCACGCTTAGACAGATGTTTAAACAGAAAGATTGGTGTGCCCAAGTCTGTTCTCACATGTACATGTGGGTGCGTGAGTGTGTGGATGTGAGTGCGCGTTTGTTTATTTGCTTGCTTGCTTGTTTGTTTGTCTTTTGACAACTGGGTCTGCATTTCTGCACAGATGTGCGTGTGTGCGTGTGTATCATATATACGGACGTACATGCACCGATTTCCGAGAGAGAGTGAGAGGGGGGCTTCCTTGTGTCTTATATGCTGAGGCCGCATGTATTCAGGCACAACGCGGCGTTTCACCCAAAGCCAGTGGTGACAAGATGTGACAAGTGTGTCAACATTTTTGTGAACAAGTCTAGACGAGTAACAGCACTACTAGTAAAGACGCTACGAGTAAGACTGTATGACAATACCAAGCATGACGCGCAAGCGTGGATCTCTTAGAAGATGTTACCGTACAGTACAGTTAAACAGCTCTGCGATGCATGCCATATCTGTTCCAGAACCCACACGGAGCGGAACACATGTATGTATGCGTATGTAGACGAATATATGTGAACCACAGGTAGACTCCGCATACACATATATGCGCATTGGGCAGTGCAGGACGTCATCAAAGTATGGGCAGGACGACATTGCAGACAAACACGACATCTGAAGATGGAGTAGACAGGTAGCCCCTTATATTATGTGTATTACATATATATATATACACATATTAGATTAGATTGTACAATAAAGTATAATATTTTACAATATAATATAATACAGTATAGTATAAAACAATACAATATAATATAACACAATATATTATAATATAGTATCACATAACTTAAAATAATATATCCATATACATATATATATATATACGGCGTTCAGTAGAGCAACCTGTAAACGTACATGCAGACGTCTCTGTGTCTTCTGTGACCCATCCCGGATGGCATATCAACCAAATTCAGCGAAGCAAGGATCGAACACCGTGGACCCGGAACAGGGGAAGCGTCGTTTGGCACACCCGAGTTGGATTACCGAATGCATGATCTGATTGCATGCATGCATACATGGATCTAAAGTCCTCAACAAACTTGATGGAGTATGAACAGTGGTTTCAAAAGATAAAAGAGCACGGTAACCAGATTGTAACTAGTCATCGCGAACACCAGCAGCATGCTGGCGATAACTATACTGGTATCTTCAAGCAGTTCAAAACCCTCGTTCCCAATACCATCTATCCTCGAACTGGAAGCCCTAAACCCATAAACCCTAATGACCAAAGCAGAACATAGGACCCACAGTATTATGGTTGTATGTGTAGCGGTGAGTGTAGCAGAGTGCATGTTGAGATACCGGTCTTCTGAACAGCGGGCCGTTCTCTTAATAAGATTTGCTGCTCAGGAGGGTGGCGTCCCTCAGGTGAGTATAGGGTGGGGTGGTGAATGTCGCGACGTCGGCGAGGGGGTGGCGTCCCTCCCGTGCCACTGCCTAGCCTAATCGATGGAAGCTCCAGCAACGAACCCAATTTCACAGCAGCCTTAGAGAATCTCGATGAATACATATGTTTTGCTGTCTATGGTGATCGAGGCGAGGATTTGGGCCATGCCATAGGTCAGATAAGGCAGCAGTTCGAGAAGGATTCTGAAGGCGCCTACTTGCGGCTAACATATTT